AGCCCGTGGCCAAGGAATTAGGTCTTGGCCTGGCTAAGGGTGTGCGGTGGAGCTGCTGGGGAAAGCGAGCCCGGCGCTGGGGGCCAGCAGCCACAGCACAGCCTCCCACGGCATTCTGGCATCTGCACAAGGGCTACAGCCTTGCAGTGGTGTGACTTGCAGCTCCTCAGCTGTAGGACCCAGAAGCACAGCACTAAGAGGGGCCCATTCTCCAGCCGGGGAGAGGCCAGCGCCACCACCCCAAGGAGACTCCCCGGCGGCGGGGGAATTTCGCTGTGTCCCAGCACTGCAAAAAGTGCTCGGAGCCACATTTACTGCAGGAAGAACTTGGTTTGCGTTTTAAAATGCACCTTGCTATTGATGTGCTGCTGTGGATGGCTCAGCAAGCACCAACTTGGGCTGATGGACGTTGCCCCAGATCGCCCTGCCCTGGGCTGAGGGTCCTTTCTCTGCCTGTTTTTCGTGCCTATTTTCAGCTGTTTCCACGCTGCCTGTTTACTTCAGCCTGTTGTTTCCAGGGCCATGGCCTTCCTGCTCCCGAGGAAATATCCAAACACCAGCAGAGACATGCAGCAAAGGCATTTTTTTTTTTTTCTCCTCCTTAAACTCTCAGGCCTGCAGGATAGATTTTGTTTCAATTGCATCTTTATAAATAACTTTCTATTTCGCACTCACCTGCTCGTTTTCTGCCCTGGTTAGAATCAATATCACCGATAATTATCTGCCAGAGCATTTATACATCACTGGAACGTGACTAACAAGGAAAAGTTTTTTGGTTTGGTTTGTTTGTTGTTTTTTTTTTTTTCAGGTCACATTAAGTGAATTAACCAAACACAAGTGATGGCAGATTGATGGAGACTAGGTACTAATTTTTAACCATAAATAAATGCACTCCCATAAGGAGAAGCAATCAGAGTGTTCCTGACAGCTCCAACAGCCCCAGGAGGAAGGTCACTCTATGGGACTGTGGCCTCTCTTTCTGAGCCATCCTGCCTGATGGACATCTCCAAGGTGGCTGCCACACCCCTGGCTGCTCCTGGAATGCCTCCATGTGCTCCTGCACCAGCCCTGCTCACAGCAACCTGCCTCCCTAGGATGTTCTTTTCCCCTCCTCATCCTCCACCCACCCAGAGTATTCCCCTGTCTGACCTTCCTGTCTGACCCCTAATCTATGTTTGGAAAGTTTCCTTTGTCAGTCAAAGGGACTGTCACTGGATCTGCTGCTGGAAGGATGAATGAATACCTCAGTTCAAAATATTTGCTTTACTGGGGAGCCCTCCTGCTTCTCCTTTTATTTCTTCCACCTTCCCCTTGCACTGGTATTAAATCACCTCTATTAAATGAGCTTCTTCTTAGCCAGAAGCAGCCAACTTATTCCTTGTTTGTACAGCACCAAGTGCTCTGGAGCCACTATTCACTGCAGGGATGTCATCTTTTTTGGCATGTGAGCTGTAGACACCTCAAATATTAGCACACACAAAGCCCTGGGTAAGTCTTCTTTTGCTGAAGCTTTTTCAAACAGCTCCATGTGGTTGCTCAAGGAAGGGAATGAGCCAGGATGCCCAGCTTGCTTTGGAGGCTGAAGAGCAGCAGCTAAGGGAGCACAAACCTTGTGCCAGTGGAGTGGTTGCATGATAATCAGTGATAAATAAATCGTAAGAGGTTCATCTGCGAAGAACTTCTCCCATTTTCTTCTTTACAGTTACTGTGACTCCATCCAACAAAATAACATTTTTTAGAGCACAGGCAATAATTTACACCGGTGTAAATCAGAAGTGCTGCCCCCACCCCAGAGGGTGATTCACACTCTTGTTTGCAAACATGAAGCCAAGTACCCCAGACAAAAGGTTTGTAGCTGGTGGCCCCGAGCTGTGACAGCCTGCTCAGGGTCTGGATCCCAGCATGGACATCTGTCAGGTCTGAGAGCTGGGTCCACGATGGGTAAAGTCACTCCTGCCCTTTCTTCTCCTCTCTCCAAGTGTCTTGGGGCTGGTTTTCCCATGTGAGCTTCACCCCTCGTGGTGCTCAGGGCCACACAGGCCATTTGCTCTATGTGTGGGAGCAAATATTCATCATTATTCAGCATATTCATCAATATTCAGCAAACAGCCAATCAGCAGAGAATCTCCTAATCCCAGAGGATGACCTTCAGGTCCTTTCTCAGAGAGGGTGGTCCTCCCATCATCATCTAGCGGTGTGGCCAAGTGCCAGCCTCCCCTGGCCACGGTGCTGCTGGTGGGGACAAAAGGAGATTTTGGGTGTAGGCTGTAGCTGTCCTAGAGAAGAAGAGGAGGGAGAAGAAAAGCATTTCCACATTTTTTTTTTCCACTTTTCTTGTAGATTTTTCTGTTTTCCTTGCTCCGGTCCCTTATGATGGAGAAACACAACATGCATGGCCCAATAAATCTGGGAAAACCCCACCAGTTCCAAGCAGGAAAGGCTGGAAGAGTGGGATCAACCTGCTCCTTGCAGATGACGTGGCCGTGCTCAGGCATTCGCTGGAGCAGAAGGTGGGCTTGGGCTGCCTGTGGCTCCCAGATTGCTGAGGCACCACTGAACAGGACAGGTGCTTGCAGAGTGAAATTCAGAGGAAGGGCTGGATTCCCTGCCCTGGAATGTGAGCCTTGGAGCTGTGCTGCTGCCACAGCTTGCTCCAGAAGAGGCAGGTTTCCCAGAAGCCACACTGTTCCCCCTGCTTGCACAGCGCCTCGGGGGTGTGTTTGCCTGGAGAGCCCTCAGCCCCCGCAGGGCTGCTTTGCACAGGTACTTGTGCTCTTGGGCAGAGGAGCCCTCGGGGTGCCCCCGGCCCCACTGCTGCCTCCAGAGGGGAGGAATGGGGCCACTCCCGAGTGCCAGGGATACAAAAGGTCACTCTGGCTCACCCGGAGGCTGATCTTATGATTTAAGGCGGGAGGGGCTAATTCACTGTTTTGGGCTGTGCTTCTTCATCCAGCACGGTGTGGGTGGTTTGCTTTGTTTCTCAATTCCCCTCTGGGGCACCGCCTGTGAGGGCACCCCTGGGAGGACGAGGTGCAGCTGGGGGTGATGGGGGGGCTTGCAGGATGATGACTCCTCCTGGTAAGGTGAGCGGAGCCCCTCCAGCCAGCTGGGATGCCCAGGTGCAAGGTGAACTGCTGGGACGCAATCCTGGCACGGTACAGAGGGAAAACCTCTGCCAGCAGCCCCCATCACCTTTGGCTGTCTCTGGCAAAAACAGCCTCCCTGCTCTGGTTCCTGCACACAGGCAGGCTGTGCACTGAAGGAACCAGCTGGGCACTGGGGCTTTCCTTTTCAGTTTATTGCGTGGCATCTATTTTAGCAAGTCGCTGCTCTCGAGAGGTTTTGCTCGTGGAAACACCTGCCCACTGCTGTGCTTGCCCCAGCCAGCCCCCTGGGCTCTGCAAGCAGCCGGTGCTCCCACCCCCTGGCCCTGCCTGGCAGAGTTTGTGTCTCCCCACGAAGCCCACAGCCCCTCAGTCCATCACTAAACTTGTCACACCTCAAAACTGGGTCTCCCCATGTCATTGCAGGGAGTCAGCTGGGCCCTCTACCTTCTTTAGGGGCATTTAAACTGAAACTTGTTTGGAAAAAGGGATTCAGGTCCTCCCCACAGCCCATAAAGTGAACAGCTTCAAACTGCAGGTCCCAGGGTTGGGTTTATGCCTTGCTTCAGCTGCCTTAGAGCTTTTATAATGTAGGTCCAGACACCCCACAAAGGGGCCTCCAAGGTGGAGCTGTGTTCTAAAGAGAGATAACAACACACCCTCACAGCTGTGGAAGCAGCGAACATGCCAGGGGGGAACTTGTTCTGGCCTGGGGAAAGTTCATGTCCACCCTCCTTTCTCCGCTGCACCTTTGAGCTCCAGCCTGTGGCTCCACGCGTTTTTCCAGAAAGAAATATTGATTGTGGGAATGATGGAGCAGGCACTTCAGCAGGGTTCTGCACCTCACCACACGCTGCCAGCTCCTGACCAGCCCTCAACAAAGGCAGGAAAGGAGATCCGGGAGTCCAGGGGCTCTGATGCTTTCATTTTCAGAGTCGATCAGCAACTCTGGCTGTCTTTTTTTTGGGGGAGGGGTTCACCTCAGGACAGCTTCAGCAGATCTGGCTTGCAGAGGCTGCAGAGCCCTCCTGCTCTGAGAGTTAAGGCCTTTTTTGGCTTTTCAGGTGTGGAAAAAGAGAGTGGGCGGCTCTGCCGTTGCTGAAAAATGCCGTCCAGGAACGCAGCTGTGCGTGCTCCCTCGAGGCTCTCCCTGCTGCAGTTGGCCTCATCCTCCTGCTGCTGCCTCAGCAGCATCCCCCCTGAAACTAAGAGCTGCCACAGTCCACAAGCAGTGACAGAACAGGTTCTGTGTGTGACAGCTGTCCCTGTGTCCTCTGTGGGATGTGTTCAGGCCAGGGCTGTGATGGGTGGCTGCAGCATTAAACCCATTCTGAGGAGGTCAGGGAACCAGCTAAGCACCCTGTGAAGAGACCTTGGTATCTGACAACTTATAAATCAAGTTTCTCCTGCTCCCACTTTCTTCAGGTGTGGAGTCTGGTGGGAAGAGAGCCATGGGAGAGCAGAGGAACAACAATGGTACTTCCCATAGTCAGTCATTTTCTCACTACTTCTTTGACAAGCTCTCTCAAATCTTCTCTCATTAAACCAGGACCCAGACAAAGGCTGGAGGACATTAAACATCCCTTTCATGGAGGCAGCAGCCTCCCCATGGGTGGCAGGTCCTGCCTCTCACTGAACTCTCCTCCTGGAGAGCCTGCTTCCCTCCTGGTAGCCTGCCCAGGCACTGCCACAGCTCAGGGATGAGAGATCCTTCCCCAGTGCGCCCACAGAGTTTCCCAGAAGGTTCAGAGTTGGAAGGGACCCGCCAGGACCATCCAGGCCAGGTTTCTGGTGCCCACCATCCCCACTGTAACCCCGTGCCACCCACGCGTCACCACCCCACAACTGGTCTGTGCCCTTTTGCCTCTGAAAACAAAGCTGGGGGTGATGGTGAAAAGCAGTGAGATGGAGGGAAGGAGTGCAGGGCTTCAACTTGCCTCTCCCTGTCTCTCTGGCTGCTGGGTCGAGCTGTTTGCTCAGCCAGCCCTGGGATGGTGCAAACCAGCCCGGCTGCCAATTGACGTCAGAGGAGCGCTGGTGGTTTGCGCGAGCTCAGGGACTGCTTCTGCTCAAGGTGGGTTTCCAACACCACACAGAAACATTCAAATCCCCCCACTTCCCCTCCCTCTGCTCCAGGAAACAAGTGCCTTATTTCATTCATTGGCCGGTTTGGTTATGGCACGAATCCCGCCCATATTTTGGCTACTTGGATGTTTGCTGAGGACCGAGCAGCACAGATAATACCAGCAAAGAGCAGGGCAGTGAAACAAGAGGGGGAAAATAGGGTGAAGCCAAGTTTAATCTCCTCTGCCTCAGTTTGTGCCACATGTTTGCAGACAGGACGAAAGCCACGTTTTTTTTTTTTTTTTTCTTCTCACATCGCCTGCAATGTTTTTGAGGCTTGTGAAAAAGCGAGATGCTGAGTTCCTGCCATCCTTCTTCTCTTCCTCTTCAAATCGCTGCGTGTGAAATGTGTCTGGGCTGAGGGAGTTCGTTTGAACTGGGCGCATTTCCTCTCGACTGCTCAAGTTTTCCTTCATCCACTTCAACTTTATTTTGTGTTGCACTGATTATCTGCAACCCCCCTGTCTTCCCTTGTCTCCAGCGGATTTGACAGCGACAGTGTCAGTACATTTTCCCCGAGCCCAGACCAATGCATTTAACTGCAACGTATCTTTCCAAACCCGGAGTGATTCCTACGGGGTGCGCCCGGAGAAGTCAATGCATTAACTTCCATCAGCTTTTGGTCAGGCCTGTGCTCTTGAATCAGTCCTTATGTGTTGCTGCCAATCTCTTCAAGATTGTCCAAAACAAACACGCTTCGGGTGAGATCAGTGCACAGACCATCACGTGAAAAGCTCTGTGATAACAACTGACTGTGTGTTTGCTTTCGTTTGGCATTGACTCTTATTTCCCTGATTATTTTTAGTCTTTGAGGCGGTTCCTTAATCAACCCACTTTCTTTAATAGCCAGTGTTGACTCTAGTGTGCTGCAGCAGGGTTAATCATGCTTTCTGTTAAGGATGGGGAGTATTAGTTAGCCCACAGCTAGAAGCAAGTGAGAATGTATTTCCTACATGGGCTGCTCCACCACTGAACTGAGCACAAAGTTTTTCATCCATTTCAGAGGCCTTGAATCAGGTCCTTACACAGCCATCAAAAGAAAAACCCTATCAAGCTCCAAACCAGCCCAAACCAACACATTCCTTTCAGTGGAAAAGCTTTACAGTAATATGTTCCTTGCTCAGACAAAGACAAATTAACAAAATCTTCACTCCTTTTCTACTCTACCTGCTTTTTTCTCTCAGAGCGTGAGGATTTGTGGCCCTGAAGCTGTCCAGAGATGAGGAGAAGAGCTCCAGCTGGAGTGGATGGCATTCCCAAAATTGAGAGAGGAGGTGAGGGAGAAGAAACACCCCCAGCAGATTTTAAAGAGTACAAAAGGCTTTGAAGCTGTTTGGAAACATGGGATATTGCAGTAAATTCATGAGGAAGTGAGTGTTAAATGGAACATGCCACTAGGTTTTCTATTTTGACATGCAGGGGCTGCTTGCACTGAACCCACAGACCCTGTGCCTTTTGCAGGGCTGGAGGAGGATGTGCCAGGAAAAGTTCCATGTCCCAGGAAAATGGAGAAGCAAGAGAATCACTGAAATCTGGGTGGAGTAAGTGGGGAAAGGTTTTTTAAATATAAAGTGGAAATGCAACTCCTGTTAATTCAGGAGTGCAGAACTTGCCAGCTGAGATCCTAAAATTTCCTTTTGTGGAATCTGCAAACAGTAGCCTTGAACAAATGCATATGGATATATGAGTACAGCACATAAACTGCCCTTCCTCACAGCCCAATCCAGTCAGGTTGCAAAATTTAACTCCTTTGGTGACAGCAAAGTCTGTCAGCAAGAAGCCTGGCTGGCTGGGTCCCCACCTGATGCTGTCCAGGAGACTTGGACCAGTCAGAAGGAGCCCATGGACAAATATATTAATTTTCGTGTTCCTGACCTAGCCACACCTTGGATCATGAACACCCAAGGTGTTTAGGGTGCCTGATTTATGGTGGTTTATTTCCTGTATTGCTTCACTGTTTCTCAGCGTGTCAGCAGCAAAATGGGATGGGAGGCTTTTGTTTTTTCCCTCAGCTCCCCTTAGTTCTCCTGTGTGTGCCTGCTGCTTGCCTGCCTGGATTTGCAAGGTGGAAGGGAAAGTGGAAATGTCTATTTTCTTCTCTTCTCAGTGTGATTGTTCCCTAAACTATCCCACCAAATCCCTGGTGACCAGTACGGTCTGTATAAACAGGAATAGCTGCAGGGCTTGCTCGACTCAGGCACATTATGGATCTGGGCCACCGGCTTCCCCTGCCCTCCCTGGGTCAGCAATGGGAGCTGTGGAGCTGGAAGAAAATGTCCCAAAAAAAGACATGAGGGTGGCTTTCACAGCCCTCTGCATGTGTGCAGAGCTACAGCTCCAGTGGTGATGCTTCCAGCCAGCCTGATGGAGGACAGCTCAGGGTAAGGCTTCCTCTCATCACAGCTTTGGTAAAAGAGAAATCCCACACTGAAGTGAGGAGAAATCCCTCTTCAGTCGGCTTTGGGCCAATTAAAAAAAGTTCTCTTTACACAGCCAGGAGAGTGAAATGGGGTTAAAAAACCTGCCTTGCTCAAATATCTCATTTCCAGGACAATCAGGGCTCTTGAAGCCGAGGGCTGCCTTAATCAGTGTCAGTCTCCATATCTCCCGTTACTTGAGGTCAGCCCAGTGCTAGTCATTCATAATCCATCTGACTGAAGGAGAGGTGTGTATTCAAACCACCCTCTGCAGGTTGTTCTGCCAGCTCAGGCTGGGCTCCTGCTCACATTTGGTGGCTGGATTTCAGGTGTCTGCCAAGCAGGAATGCCTGGGTGCGTTTGGATGAAGAAGGGGGTCACTGGTGAACTTTGGTGGGTCTCAGCTCCACGCTCTCTCTGCAGCCAGTCGCTGCAAGCTGGCCTTAGTGGCTGTGCTCTAATGTGAGGATGGTAATTTATGGAGTGGGAAAGCACTGTGGTAACAAATTAAATCGCCTGTATCATCCTTAAAGAGAAAGGAAAAAGAAAATCCCCAGCTCCCCCCAAGCAATTTGGAAGTTTAGATGAGCCTTTCAGCAGTTTGCTTGGACAAAGGTATGGAAGCCAGGTACCAAAACCAAAAGAAAAACGTACCCTGGTCTTTGCAGATGCAATCATTGTTTATAATTGACTACAGAGGCAATTTAACCTCTAGAGGATAAATACTACTGAGTAGTGATTACAGGAGGCGGGAGTGATTGGGAGGGGGAACGGCAGAAGACCCGAGATGAGCTGGCCCAAATTTCATCCTCTTGGAGCCCTTGCTGCAGGTGCTACAGTCGGTGCGAGGATGAACTGGGGAAGATGCCAGCTGAGGGTCCGGCACTGCTTGACGTGACACAGGACAGGGCTCCCACACTCCCCAGAACAGCTTGGCCCAGCCCTGGGATTCATGTTACAGGCCGGCAACAGGAGACATCCCCGACTTCAGCTGCCTGAGCCCGGCAGGGAGCGGCGGGTCCGCGGTGCCTGCCGTGCCACCCGGTGCCTTAAGGAGGCTTCGAGCTTCGGGACTGAGCTGCGGTTGTTCCTCTGCACCTCCCTCGAATCCCCCCAAGCCAACACCCTCCACTAAGACCGAAAAACATTTTCCAGACGCAAGCATGTGTACGTGTGTGGGTGGGTGGGGTGCAGGGGACTATGAAAATTTCAAGGGGAGGTATGACATCCTGGCTTTCTAAATATAGGGGACCAGAGCTGCAGCTCCTCTCACACGCTACCAGCCTGCTTTCTCTTTCGAAAGGCCCCCCTCTTGAAGCAAAAACTGCACTGGCTGGTAGGGTGGGGGGAAAAAAAAAAAAAAAGAAAAAAAATAAAAGGAAAAAAGAGGGAAAAAAACCCAACACACACACACTAGAAAAAAAATTAGTCCTGCAAGCTGATTGCAGCTCCCAGCGCTCTGGTGCAGAGTTGTTGTTCAGGCAGAGCTCCAAGCGGTGCCCACGCGGAGCGGGCCGGGCCAGCGCGGCGCAGATGGCCGTCACGTGAAGGCGGTGGTGGCACCAGTGGGGCGGTGGTGGCACCAGTGGGGTGGTGGCAGCCCCAGTGTGGGGCCAGGACCCGGCCCCGGCAGCGCTTCCCCTTCGCCCACCAGCCCCTGTCCTTCCAGGGGCAGCAGGGGAGGGGAGAGAGGGGAGCAAACCCTGGCGGGGCTGAGGATGTGACATTTTGGCTCCACGTCTCGGTTCCCTTTTCGCTGCCGTTGCTGCTGCTCCAGTATTTGCATAGCACGACACCAAGACGCCTCAGAGCCAGGGGAGAGTGGTAGCTGCTGCTTCTCCTTTTAAAAAAGCAAGCAGTTATCCATGGGACAGCATCGCTCTCTGCGTGTGCTCGGGGTGGAGGAGGAGGCCTGACACCGAGGCGGGGGGATTGTGGCCTTTGGAAAAGTTCTGCAGGGCTGAATTTAATCGAGACTGATGATCTTTAAGCCAAGCTATGAAATGCAGTGGAGAGTTATATCCTGGTAATAGACCCTATTAGAGGGTCTAGCACAGTCTATAGAAAGGATCTCCTCTCTATTAAATTCTCCAGGGCCTGAGTTCCCATTTACACAAAGGGCCCTTTTAGCTGTATAAAATGGCCATAAAGCAGGTGTAAAAATGATTGATGCCACCTTTACAACCCCTTTGCACTGGGAAAATGGTGTAAAGTGGCCAGGGTGCAAATGAGAATCACACCTGGGTTTGTGAGAGTAAATTACATCAAGCCCTTCGCAAATTCTGTGTGTCCATAGAGGTTTAATCCACCCCTTTCTGCAGAATTCATCTAGAAAATAAGTTTCAGAGGCTTAAAAACAAGGTTTTCTTCTTCAGCACCTCTGTCCTTTCCAAGGCCTTTTAGTCCCAGTCTTTTTTACTGGTGCAGTCCATGTGGACTCTGACACCAGGAAAGGCTGGGAAGTGTCTGGATATGCTGTGGCAGGTGAAAATCCTTTAATTAAAACTTTCCAAAATACTTGGATCCGAGGAAAATACATGTTGCAAAACAATACCCAGGGGAAAACTAGCTCCAAAAGCTCCCGAGTCCGTTTCCCCATCCCTCCTGTTTTGACTTTATGCTCTTGAGATACACATAAAGAGGAAATAAAGAAGCTGATCTTCCTTAGATCAAAATTTATTCATTAAGCACATAAAATGCCAATGGAATACATGATGAGTATTGCTTTCTTCCAGAGCAAAGGGTTAAGTGGCATGATTAGCGAACCCGTGGAGGGTGTGCTGATATGGAGGTGCACAGCTCGTTAAGTGGAGCGGGCTGGGTGTTCCACATCTCCCTTCTCTCCCCCATCCACCCCCTGAAGGCATTTGCAGTGGCCCTGGGAGCATCTTCAGTGCCCCACAGCGGTCCCAGCAAATTTAAGCCCAGGGGGTGAGCAGGCAAAGATCGGGAAGCACGAGGCCAGCCTCTCCGGCAGCCCAGCACCTGGGAGGTGGTGTGAGACAGGGAGTGAAAACACGTGGGTGAGACGGAGGTCAAAGGATTACGGGGACAAAAGGCCGGCTCTGGTGGAAATGCCGCTGGGCCGGGGCTGACCAGCCGTCTGCCACAACAGCTCGGGCTGCCAGCCTGCACTGGCACAGCCTCAGCTACAGTGCTGCACACCAGGCTGCGTCCTGAACACGAGGCACATTTGGGATGGGCAGGGTGGGAAGCACGCCCTGCTCTGCCAGCAGAGCCTTCCCTGTGCTTTGCCAGCCCATGGGGCACAGTGCTGAGGGTGGGAGGGAGCCCCAAAGCTCGGCTGTCATTCAGCCTGCCTTTGATCCCCGTCTTATTATTTTCTTTGGGATGAGAACCACCCACATCTTTGGCTGGAGGGAGGGGCAGGTGCACCGAGAGTCCTGTAGGTGGGAGGAAGGTATATCCTCTGCCCTACACTTGCACAGAGAGCACGGCTGGAGTCGTGTGAGGGACAGGGGACAAACCAACACCGAGTACAGGCAGCGGGTGAGAGCCTGCCCTATGCACCCATCTCCTACAGGAGGAGGGTCCTGGCACAGGCCCTCAAGGGCTGTGCTGGCAGCATGTCCCACCAGAGCTGTGCTAGGTGGGCTGGTTCCTGTGATATCCCACATGGATGACCCCACTGCTGATGCTGGCACATGAATCTTGCATCACCAACCCTCCTGCAGGCTCCACTGCTTGCCCTGAGCACACCTGGGAGCCAGGCTGAGGACTTTAGATGGGTGGTGATGCGTAGGCACCCTTGAAAACGTGCCCTGTAGTCAGGCTTATGAGTGATTGTTACTTTTAGGTGCATAAAAAAGGCCATTTGGAAGCTGATCCCAAAAACCTTCATCTCCTGACGTTCCTGGCTTTGAGGCTTGGCAGGGAGCACCTTGGTGATGCTGTGTCTACTCTTCGAGGCACTTTCCATGACAAAAACTAGAGCCCACACACCCAACAGCGTTCCAGGTGAGACTTAACTACGCTGTGACCTTCTGCCCCTGGAGGTATGCTGGTCTATCCCTGGGATGATGCATGCTCACCATGTGGAAGAGAGTTTTTGGGTAGGATTAGAGCTCCTTAGACAACTAGGTTTTGCCAGACCGGGTTTTCGACTTCCCTGATGGCTATTTTTACTGCAGAAACAGAAAGGTTTTGGTTTTTTTTTTTTGTCTCCTTTGAAGCCTTATATAATTTTCATTTTCTTCCTCCTTTGCTAATGATTATGGTACAGTCTTTCTGGCGTGTGATTGCTCCTCCCCACCTCAGAGGCACCCTCTCTCCGGCCAGGATCGGGAAATCCCTGCTCATGGCAGGATGTGAGCACCAGCTGTCTTGCTCTTGCATGGATATGTACCAGCAGGCAGTGCAAAATGCTGCCAATTCAGAATTGCTCCTAAATTAGACGTCCGTGCTGTGCAAGTGGGAATGACAGTTCAAGGGACAAACCAATACAGTCATCTTGGTATAAGGCTAATAGGATGTAAAGCACTTCTAGAGCTGCACTTTTGGGGTGAAAAAGCACTGTTTGAAGGTGCTTTGTTTTTCTGTGCTCGTTAAGAAATCGTTATTCTTTTGCCCTCGTGATTATAGACTATGTCTTTGGGAGACTGGCAGTCTCTTCTTGCTTCCCTCCCTCCACCCCATTTTAAAAACACTCATTGTTGCAGGGATATGTCTCTCTCAGGGCTATTGGCCCAACTCCACTGCTGGTGTGTAAGGCTGATTGTCTTCAGAGGAGTTACACCAAAAATGCATTTGGCCTTTTGTGCCTGGAGTATAATTGGTGGAACTGGCTAAAATCCGGGTTTGTGGGGCTGCCATTACTGCAAGGTCAATGTCATTTTCATTGTGATTAGTGATTTGGGGGTCCTCCAATTTAGGAGTGCAACTCAAGGTTCCTTAAACTGATCTTGCCTCCCAAACTTCCTCCCCAGTCTATTTGGGGTCTCAAGCAGGGCCCACCCAATCACCATTAGTCAACTCACCCATATTGTTATTTATTAGTAATTGGGTTAGGTAACCTACATAATTAGTCTTTCTGAAAAGTCTTATGTATATTTTATATGGCAGCCACCAATATATTCACTTTCCTGCTGGTCTCAACCTGCATTTGAAAAGGTCTTGACCTCCCTTATTACTTTTCCAAATGCTAAATTCCCATCACGTTAGTGTGGATTACACCCAGAGCATCAAGATGTGATATATTCCCTAAGCATGATCAGCATAGCTATAATTAAGCAGTTTGGATCAGATCCTTATCTGGTGGAGATTGGTGTAGCTTCTCTGAGAGCAAGAGGGAAATGGACCCTAATTTGCTGTAGCCCTGCAGACGAGTTCCTAATGATTTTATCTACGGCTAATAAAGATAGTCTTTGGTGATTATTTGTACAGCTGCATCTTTAGGACTGTGTGACCTCAACATAAACTCAGATGAGACCTGAGCAGCCGTACGAAATGCTCTTAAAATGATTGAAAAACAAGTTCATTAAAACCGTGTGAAGGTTTTTCCTCGTCGAGAGCCTTGCAAACCCTCACCCGTCCGCGGCGTCCGTGGTGGCAGCACACCGACATTTCCCATTCCCTGCTTGCCAACCCCCTGCCAGCCCAGACCCTACACTTGCTGTTTCTGGCCTTCAGCAGCAGCAGCAGTCAGAGGGTGGAACCGAACGCCCACATAGAAGACCTGGTATCTGTGTTTCCACATCACGAAGCAGGTCAGGAGGCACACCAGGGCTGCCACCAGGTTGAGGGCCATCTGCAGGAGCAGGTACAGGTTGAGCATGTTGGTGAGGCTGCCACAGTCAGCCGCGTCCTGGTAGGTGAAGGTCCTGCCCAGGGGGTCCGCGGTGTCCAGCTTGCACTGGCAGGACTCGAGGACGGTGTCGCAGGTGAATTTTGTCATCTGCAGGTAGTGGTGCGCGGCAAAAGCCACCGCCAGAACACAGGCAACCAGCCCCAGGGCGCTCAGGAGAAAATACATCAGCTGAAAGAAAGGGAAAAGCAAGAAGATGAAAGCGGTTTTTCCAGCTGCACAGGAGCTGAGGGATGCAATACAAGTGCATGCACACATACTTTGCAAGGAGTGCATGCGTCGGATGGACTGTCTGGAGATTGGGTGCTTCGAGACAGCTCATGGTGCCAAGTTCAGCAGGTCAGCTCAAGAACTAGTAATTCTGCCTTTCCATATTTTATATGAGTATTGCCTCACAATTTTGAGACCAAGGAACTGGTGTCTCTACACAGCCAGAAGCTGTAGAGAGCGAGGAAACAACTTCCTCTGCCGTTGTACCTGCACTGGCGAGGCTCGTAGTCATTAGCTGAGATAAATTAGTGCAGTTGCCTTGAAGCACAGCTGAGCAGACTGAGGCTTGGGCTGACATCTTATCCCAGGCTGTGCTGAGCAGTAGGTGTTTCCGAAACTTTGCTCATGTGTTACTCCCGTGCCCAAACAAATCTGATTCATACTTGCAAATCAGGCAAGCGAGGTGGCTGATCTCCCGCTCGTGGCCCGGCAGAGGCAGCCAGCCTGCTTGCTTCCCAGGCCCTGCTGTGGGAACAGGAATGCCAATCTCCACAAGGAAAGTGCAGGCTGTGCCCAGCCTCCTTCCAAAAGTTGCCCCATAAAGGTGGAGAAATCTTTCACAGGCGTGAAGGAGCAGCGAGCGCCTTTCGTCTCCCAGCGCTGCGGTGTGAGGAGGACAAGGGTCTGCTCGTGACCTCCGCTGCTCCTCACAACAGTGGCAGCTTGAAAAGGGGGTGGCTTTTACCAAGGCTAGCTCCGCAGAGCACACCCCCACAAACACACGGCAACTGGCAGCAACTCAGAGGCTTTGACACTCCGGGATGCACCTGAGAGCTTTGGATACCAGCACATATGGACTTCCCTGGCTTTTGATAGCTGGAACTGGCAGTTGCTGCACTGCATGTAAAGCGTGTGTGAATGTATATTAAAATAATATTTCTGTGTTGAGCCAAAATAGCGTTTTTGGTTCTGTTCAGCACTGTAAAAACATTTATTTTTCTTGGCGTCTTATCTGTCAGACACATGGCATGGTTGGGAATCTGTTATTTTAAACAGCAGCTTCTCTCTCTCTCTTAACCTCAATACCGCAAGCAAAATATCAATATAAAAGCATTTTTTATGACCTTGAAACTCCAAGTATGTAAGTTCTTGATAAAATTCACACTCCTGGTGTATTTGTCTTATATCTGCAGTGTGAATCAATCTTCTATTCACTTGCCAGCTTGGGGTAAAAAAAAAAAAAAAGTATTTGGGCTTATTGCAGGTCCTGAAGCACTATATACATTTTTCTCCTCATATCACTGAATTCTTACAGAAAGATCTGAGTTTCCAAGACTTGGCTACTATTCAATCTAATGACTTCCCCTGCAGCCTTAAACCAAGGGCAGCTTCAAAATGAGGGTGGCTCTTATTAAATGCAATTACTTTGCCCCTGCAGCTTTCAAGGCAAAGGTCCATGGGAAAGGTGAAGCCGGAAAATGAGGCCACCTCCTCATGTGAAGCTCACGGAAGATGGAGTGGTGCTGACTGATGGAACCCCCTCCAAACAAAGACCTGGCAATTCATAAGCTGATGGCATTATTTTAAAAGACGGTGGGTGCAAATGTGTCTGGTGGGGAAAACAGAAAATGGGCAAACATTGTTTGTTTGGTTGTTCTGCGAGGTGGAAGTCCTGGTGGGCTGGCTGGAAGTCCCTGGATTCGTCCCAGCAGAAGACAGAATCAGGCCTCCCTAATAAATGAGATACTAAGCCAGGACTACACGATGTGCCTGATTCTCCCTTGGCAGGTATTTCATTTACCTGCCAGCTTCTATCCAAAGTCAGGACACAACAGCGTGGAATCCACAGCCCAAGCCATGCTCTCAGTGAGAGTCTGGCTGCTGAGCTCCTAAAAGGAAGGAAATCTCAGCATCCAAATGCAGGGGCAGCTCTTACAGTAATCCTCAGAGGCAAACAGAGATGCGTGGGGGACACAGGGCAATTTCCAAATAGCTAATTATTCTCACAAGATGTTTGCAGAGGAATCTCTCTGCGAGCTGCTGAAAATGAACACATTTCCAAATACCAAAGGTGAGGCAAATGCAAACAGGGCCTGTGAAGGAAGCACAAGACAGTGAGTGCTGAGATCCCATCAGCAGATTAATCACATGCCAGGCCTGGAGGCAACTTCAGCATCACAAACACCACTGCGTGGTGGGCTGTGCCCAAGAACCAGAGCTTGCCACTGGAAAACTGGTTTTCAGGAGCCTCAGAGAAGCAGGCACTGTGATTGCTGCTTAAATAAAAGGAGAAAAGGGAAGCGGGGACAGACAGCGTATGGTGAGGTCAGGGCATGGCAGCTCATCCTCCTTCAGGTTCCTCATATGGGGAAGAGACATTTTAGCAATATTTACTGGCCACAGTTTTTGCTCCGTGGCTAAAAGAAACGACTGACCTAGTACGGATCGAGTTCCTCGTGGAAAAGGCTTCTCACAGTCACCAGAGGTGGAAAGAGGAGGTTTGCAGACATGGATGAGGGGGACTCCTTTTGAAGGTGGTGGTGGTGGCCCAGGCACAAGGCTGTGCAGGGGACAGGAACCGTGGTGTGCCACGGCGTGGGCCGTGGGGCTGGGTGGGGCAGGAGCAGAGGGTGTCACGCTGCTGTGGGAGATGCTGTGATGAGGACCACAGGCAGATATTAGCACACAGCCCAGGAAGTCCATAGGATGTCTCCAGATTTTCCTCTGAGAGCCTGCTGTCCTCCCTGAAGGGCATATCCACCCTCCCTTTGGGGGGGGTCTCCCCTTCTCACAGGGTGCTGTGGGTACCAACAGCAGACTCAGGAAGGCACTTCTGCAGAAATCAGTCCTCAGACCTCCTTCTTTAACAGGGTCCAGGGCTCATGCAAGTGTGAAATGAAAGAAGCAGCTGTCAAGAGGGAGGAAGGCACAGAGGACCGCACAGGTCTCCTCCTGTTTTCCGCCCCAAGGCAGTCACACACAGTGGCCATAGGGTCACCTTGGGGGTTGACTAAAATCCCCAGGCCAGTATGTGTGTGATCCTCTTCCCGAGTGAAGCAAGTCCCCAGAAGGACAGTCAGAGCAGATAGGGCTGCACTTGGTGCTGGATGAAGAATCAGGCCCCCAAGAAGGAGAGAACAACCCACTGAACAACTGGCTCTGTCTCACGATTGTAAATCTTGCATCCTCAGCCTTGTGGAGGAATAGCTAATGCTGGGGTTTGAGTTCAGAGACAGCTCTTAACTCACATTTGAATATTTGAGAAGTGATACTGGAGATGTGACCAAAACCCTGGAGGGGACTTTTAGCTCCTACTTTGGTAAATTACCTACATGCCCTGCAGCCAGAAGCCATTTATCCTGAGAGTCACTGAGGGATTAGAGCTCCCAGAGGGGACATGGGACAGGAGAGGTGAACAGCCCAGCAGTGATGGAGTTCTGTGGCGTGCTGCAATAGGAAACACTGGGAAGGGGGATTCTGGGGCAGAGCCTGCTGTGGGGGGCTATTGACTGAACCACAAGTCTTTCAAGGGAGATTTTAGTTCTAATTCTGCCCGGTGATGAGGAGTGACACACTTTCACATCACCTGGGGAGCCATTTAAAAACGTTTATTTTCTTACGGGGAGGTGAGCGATGGCTCACACTCCTCCTTGCCAAGGGTGGCAGAGACACCCGGGCTGCCCAGCCCGACACGCCGTTCCCGAAACGAGGGGATGACTCCCTTCCTGCCTGGATGCCAAGTTCAATTTAATGTCGCAGGGCAGGCAATAAAAAGCCTGGCGTGGCAGCTCCCGCCCAGCCCAGAGGCTCCCTGGGCAGCCGTAACACTCAGCCTGGGGGTGTAAAGGTGACGGGGCAAGAATGCAAAGGCAGTCAAAGGGCAGAAACGATTGTTCTTCTTCTCTTTTTTTTTTTTTTTTTTGTAAGTACGGGAGAAGCTTGAGAAAGTCACAAAAGACACGCCGGGGTCTAATTTGTAAGGGAGGACGGGTGCCAGGATTGGAAAAAGCTGCTCCCTGAGTTTTGTTTCCTTCTGCCTTTCTCGGCTAATAATCACTGTTATTTTGTGCTGCTTGCGTCGGTATTTTTCTCGGTTATTACGTGTCTGCAAAATATTAAGAGCCTTGACAATTACAATAATAAGGAAAAAATAATCCAGAAAAAAGCAGTGTTAGAAACAAGCATTCTCAGCCTTCCTCTTCTAAGTTGCTTACCAGCATCAGCAAAGCAGTTTTGGAGGCAAAGATGGGGTGCTGTGTGTAGTTTCTGCTCAGATGGGAATTTGCTTTGTGGGAGAACGAATGTCCCTGTGCTTTCCCAGTGCTTTCCAATTAAAAATTAAAACTTGATTTAAGTGGATGCATATTATGTCACCCTACTTCTTACTCTGCTCACTATCTCTACTTAATCTACCTAAAATCTCAATCTTTCACTGAACACTGCCCAAATTATTCCAGTTTTTTCTATCCGAATCTCCTTGAAATTCCTAAAAAATGGCAGATAAAGTGTTATCTTGTTCTGATGATTTGAAATGTTTGTTATTGGAGTTTCCTCTTTATAGCTACAGTTTCTTCCCTGGCTGCCTGGAAAGTAACAGAAAACCATTCTTGCATTTCAGGTGCATTCTCACTTCGTTTCCTGTGGTCTTAAAAATATCCCCTGCCCCAACTGTTCTGATTATATTTAATGACATAAGAAACACAAAAAAAAAGTGTTCAGAAAAAAGTCAGGGTACCTTTACTGTGAACTGCGCACACGTCTTCTCGTCGGGTTGGTACGAAATACAGAGCATAACAAATCCCACCAAGGACACCAGACAGACCTGCAAGGCAAAAGATGTAAAATATGTCAAGGTTAAAAAAAAAAACCAAACAAACCTAGAAAACACAAAAATATTTTATTTATTTATTTATTTATTTATTTATTTATTTATTTAGAGCCAAAACACCTTTCTGTGTAGCAGGGCCATAGCTCAAGAAGCAGCGTGGAAGCAAAGTCATCAAAAGACACAGCCCAGCAACAGCCTCTAGAATGTTTGTCGAGTTTTTTGTCCTTACAACTAACTATCAAAAGAGAGCAAAAGGCCTATGAAGGCTTGCAAGCCCAGAGAGCACCACCCCATGTACCTCTGAGGGCTGACAGGGGTTTTTATATCACCAGAGCAAGTCGTAAATCACTATCCAGAGCTGCTGCTGGATAAGAGGAAACACAGTTTATAGCAGAGGTTTTCACCCTCTCCTAGAGTGGACACCTTGCTTAAAAGACATCTATCTCCCCTGCAATCTGAAACTGTGTTTTAGCCCCCTGGCAGTAATTCCTGAAGGTTAACAGCAATGGAAAAGTATTTATGCACTTCATTATTCATTGAGCTGTCTTTGTTATTAATTCTGTGAGCATCTGCTCACAGGTAGGCATTTTACAGCCAGGGAAGGAGGGAAGATCCTCCTCTGAGGATCTACCCCAGTAAATACGATTTGCTTGAAAATGGGGGGACACTGGGTACCCCCCACTGCACTAAGCACTCCAGTCAAGAGCCCTGAGGTTGTGTCAGGGCAGGGTTAAGTTGGATATTAGAGAGAGGTTCTTGTCTCAGAGGGTGGTTGGGCACTAAACAGGCTCCTGAGGGCAGAGGGCACAGCACCAAGGCCGACAGAGCTCAAGAAGATTTCGGATGATCCTCTCAGGCCCATGGTGTGACTCTTGGGGATGATTCTGTGGAGGGCCAGGAGCTGGACTGGATGATCCCTGTGGGTCCCTTCCAAACTCAGCAGATTCTGTGATTTTGTGATGCTGGGAGCATCTTGGTTATAAATCCCATTAAATTCTAAGTGGCTACACCAAGATTCTACATTTTTCTACCCCCTTCATTTTACTCTGGGAGTTTGAAAGACTTGCTAATTTGAGACTTTCTGCTTTCCCAGAGCAATGGGATTTTTCCCCCTCGGGCCAGATCCAGGTGGGGCTGTGCCATGGACTGCAGGGCTCTGTCCCAGCCCCATCCCCACCTGCTCACTGCATGTGCTGTTCACTTCCAGGTTTCCAGCTCCATAGGGGACTGCTTGACCTGCAGTGAAAAATGCACAGCTGTCCTTTTAGACAGCAACAGCTGAACACATCTCTTTCATGATCTGATGCACAAAACACCAAACTTTTGGTGCCTGGATTGCTGGTGTAAAGCCCCAGACAGCGGCCCTGCAAAGGAAGAGTAACTCTCAACACAGGGAGAGCTGTTCCCTCAAGAACTTGTGTGATTAATAACACTTTTCCCCATAAAGTTTTATTTCATGTCATTTCAGTAGGACATGAATCGGAAGTATTGCCCGAGAACATTTCTAAAGAAAGCATCAGTATTATTTACTCCTTTCCATGTCATGTGTATTTATACTCTGGTCCTGTGACTTACACACTGCCTCCAATTTATTTGTTTCTTTCTTTTTATTGTTGACAGCCATGGCTGACAGGGTTGTCAGGGGAAAAAAACAACCTTTCTTGTCAAAGGTCCTTCAGTGCTAGTTGGTTTTTGGTTTTGGTTTGTTTTTTTTTTTTTTTTTGCCCTGTAGTGGTTCTATCTGACTCAACCATGTTTTATTTCTCAGGATTAATCGCCTATGTCCTTGGTCCTTTGCACTGTGTATTAATCTTTTAATTCAATTAGCATGCCCATAACATTTAAATCTTAAGGAGATCGTGTCTCTAGTACTATCCAAATGATAAACTCCCCCAGTGGCAGTAGTGGCTGAAGGAAAGAACCTGCAGCAAGAACTAAAATAAATAATGCTTAAATACACTCGCTTAACGTCACATCCCCCCAAACACACGGGAAATCAAAGGGGCTTCTCACGTCAGAGCTGGGCCTGAGCATTTTCAGGACCTGCTGCTGAAGGATCTTGTTATCAGCAATAAATCAAATTTGCTTTGCTTCAGCTACACTAGTGGGCATTTACACTTGCATGGACCGCGGGCCAGATTTGCCTCCAGGTTACTCCCCGTGAGACGTCATGGGACTGTTCCCACTCCCTCGCTCCCGTTCCTTCCCCTAAAACCACAGAGAGCCGACAGAGCTGCACTTATTCCCGAGGGCACAGCCAGATGGATACCAGCGGTGGAATTTTCTCCCTGCCATCGAGCGCCTCAGTACAACTTCAGCAAAACCCCAAAAGGATTCCCATTCCTGCACGTGCTCTCCAAAGTTCCCCTGGGATTTAAATAACATGCTCAGGGATACTTGAAGAGGCACATTTGTGGAGAGGTGTTTATAAAAGATTACACCGGGCCAGGATTCTGGCAAGTCTTGGCCGGGATATTTCAGAAGGCTTAAGTATTTCTTTTATAACAATGTAGCAACTTTTTTTTTTTTTTTTTTTTTTTTTTTTTTAAACCATAGATGTGTATTTTTTCTAAGTGGCGGTAAAAAATAACGTTGCTGAGAATTATGACTCACATATGTTTTTATATTTCGGTTCTTTAAAGGCAAATTCACTCCTTGGAGGAAACCAGAGTATGGAACATTTATACAGGAAACAGCTTTATGCTTCTATTTTATACATTATTAATAGATCACTTTTGAATTATACCTGTGAAGTGCAACAGAATAACTATAAAAATCCTCCCGGTAAATATTTTTTTAGGACCTGTTAAGTGACTAAAACAGCTTCAGGCACGTTATGGATGCCGCTGCTGCTGATTGCTAAGTAGCAGTAGGTAATCCCGCGGTCCTGGTCCTTCAATAGCCACCGCAACATCCCAGCGTGGAGCACACACTTCTCCTATGCCTTATTGACTAAGCACACAACACAAAACGCAATTGAACTTGTTTTAGCACATGCTCGCCAGCAATCGATGTGCATTTGTTACACAAATAAAATGGGTTCTGTGAGACCCGCAGGACGGGGCAGTTAATTAGATCAGCTCTGGGCAAGCCGTTATCTAGAAATCTGGGAATCTGCATTTCTATGCCGAGAGAATTTCGACTCGGGTTTATTTCAAGATCCTGTTTCAAAATTTCCATATGGGCTAACACACCCTTTGCTGAACGGGTAGTGACGGGAAAGGTTATCCAAGGAAAGAATTTAATTTTAGGGAAGCGCTGTCTAGAAAAAGACCCAAATGTGATACAGAAGCATTTAGGAAACGTAAGGATTTAATTTTGCTTAAGGCATACCCTGTGAAACCCCCCAGTTCACAATCAAGGGAAAACAGCAGTTTACTAATGCTGGCTGAAAAACTGAAGAGTTTATGCTGTACACAAATTTTAATACTTTTTTTTTTTTTTTTTGTGGGAAGCAGTAAAATATTCCTTCCACTGGACAGGAATATCTCGGGGCTCAAAAGTGACTTAAGAATGTTTGATTTTCAGCCCACAGCCAAAACAGGGTTAGAAATTTTCCAGGTTGCTCTCCCTGTTGAGCCTGTTGTCATGAGAACTGAATCGAGTTCCTATAGATTTCATCAGGAATGGGGCCAGATTTAGGAGTGGGTCCCGGTGGATTTGCCTGGGAGGATCCCTGCTCTCTCTCACCTGGTCCTGCAAGGGCTGAGCACAAGGTGTGAATGAGCAGCACCAGGACCCCACGTGGCAGTGATGAGGGTGGCTGTGTGTGGTGTGTAACTGGGGGAAACATGAACAGGTAAGGCACAAATTTCCGCTGTGGTTTGCGTTCTTTATCTTTGCACAGCGGCATTTTAACGTGGCTTTGCTTTTATTCCGGCAGATTTCAAAACCACAGATTGCTCTGATCTGTCTCCATCTCTCCCTCAGACTCTTGTGAAACCAGTTTTCCTTTTGTTATTGCTACAGTTTCAGCCCAAATGTAGAATAAACCCAGAGCATCTTGAAAACCTTGGCACCTTGAGGCTGGTAAAGCCAGAGAGCTGGAAACATCCACCAAGAAATGAAGGAAGGGGGCAAAAACCTGCCTCAAAGGAGCATCCTGGGTCTAAGCCACATCACAAGACAGATGTTGCAAACACTCAAAAAGACACAGTATAGCTCATCTGCTCTTTATATGGGGGCTTGTCAGTAGAATCAGGAAAAAAATTTCCATTATGGACAAGTTATATTATAGTTACTTCAAGACACTGTGGGTTTTTCTGTTTGTAGGGTCAAGGGTAAAGAATGATCTCTTGTAGCTGTCTCTTAAGTCTCTGGCTCACCCTCAGAGGTGATACTTGGCTTGATAACTCACCCACTCTATCAGATGTGGCAAAGCTTAGCTCCCATCTACACCCTGGGACAGGCCACGTTATCCACCGAATCTACCACTCCCACTGGACACAGCTTTGATGCAAGAAAGGAACATGCCACTGTTGGCTTTGTAACTATAAACCTGGATCACCTCTGGTGCCAGACATCTCCACGGGCTGCTGCAGACAGCAGCACTGGAGTTCAGTCACTTCATGAGGTTTGAGGAAGCTCTGAGGAAACTGAGATGTCAGTGGGTGCTGCAGGCAGCTTTCCCTGCCAGCTTTGATCAGCCTCAGGTCAGCCTGGGTCTCACTACCACGTGTAAAAGAAGCCAGTCTGCCACAATGAGGTCTTGTACCTTAATGGTTATTTGTTTTTCCACCTTCTTGTTAAATTTAAAGACAGTCTAGTTGCATATAAATTACTTCCAGAAATAATAGCTGTAATAATAAGGAAAAACGTGTATATCGTGGTTGCAGGCAAAGGCCGTCATCATCTAGGAAATCATTCTCTTAACAGCCATAAAATCCACAATAACTGTCCATCCCTACCCCGCCTACAGAATAAAATAATGATGTCTCTACTACAGGTCCCTTCCAGCCACGCAATAACGCACCCTGGCAGATGCACAACTTTCT